GAGAGAGAGAGAGAGAGAGAGAGAGAGAGAGAGAGAGAGAGAGAACAATTTCCACACTGTGCTTACCAAGAGCTGCCATTGCATGGGCCTTGTATAAAGCCCTTAGTGGCTTGGGACCCAAGTATGCCCCGTTGCAACCCACCCATTTACAGCAGCTCCAACTTGTGGTGGGCTGACCAGCAATGAGACAGGGGAGTATGAGCAAAGCCAGGCTAGATCAGAGCAAAGCTTTCCCTAATTCAGCATCCTGCTCCCAGTGGCCACCTGAATGCCAGAATGGGAAGCCCCCAGCGTCCTAGGAGGGCTGCTGTGTCTTCCTGCACTTGTTCCCCAGCTGCGATCCGTACGGTCCCTGCCCCAACGCTGCCATTGTGACATTGACCACCTTACGCTTCATCTGTTTTAAAACCGGCCTCTAAAGACAGCCCTGTTGGGAGCCGTTGCTCCATCTTGCGCCGGTGCGATCTACAGTCCCCAGAAGCACCGTGGAATGTGGGCTCCCCGGTATCCTTTCCTGGGTCTCCCATCACTCAGTTCCACTGGATGGCCCCTCCAGGTGCGACCATTATGCGGAAGGACTGCCCCTGCCCATCCACCCGGCGCCCTGCCCTGTCCTTAGCAGCTTTCGGGTGCCACTTCAGAACCCAGGATGCATACAGGTTTAGAGACTTTTCAGCACTTCATTCATTGCAAATGCATTATTTTTGTCATTTCTCTGCTTTTGTTTATCAAATACCCCCTGTCCTCTCTCTCCAAGCAGAATGTTATAAATCACAAGGCACAAGACTGCAGTTCATTAACATAGATCAATGAAAACGAATCCAGTAAACACACCAATAAAATCAAAGAAATAAAAGAACATATGTAAGAAAGGATTGGATTAAGATTTGAATGCAGGATCAAATCGGTTTCCAGTGCAATCGTCTCCATGCCTGCTTTGAAGAAAGCCCTGCTGAGTTCAGTGGGACTCACCCCATGAAACCCGCTTGCAGCCTTAGCCGCAAAGACCTGTCTCAGTGGAAATGCAATTCCCTCCCCACTGGATGCTTAACACAGATGGTCTTCCTCGGAAAGGCATTCCCAAGCATTGAAAAAACTTGCTCTTTGCCATGCCTCTTAGCTTTCATTGTAAACCACCGAAAACTTAAGGCCGAACTGGCAGGATAGAAACTGCTGGGGAGAGATTGGAAAAAATCTAAAAATATACAGCGAGTCCCTGATGGGAGTCTGAATCTGGCCTAGAAAATATGAAAGCATTTCACAGCTCTTCCCCCATTCCCTGCAGGAGAAAGTCCCATTTTCCTTGCAGCCTCCTAAAAATGATGCCCCGATGATTAAAAGTCCCTCGGGTAGGCCAATTAAAGAAAAAAGAAAAAAATAACGGGAGAGCGACAAAGTCTGCAGTGAGTAGCAGGCAGAAGGCATGCAGGGGGCCTGGGATAAGGGAAAGAGTCCGGGAGGTGCCATTACAGCTGAGGAAGTCTTTAAAACATTGAGAATTTTACCAAGAGATGGAGATTATTTTCATTGGGATATATGGGATTAGTTGCTGGCCCAAGAAAAGGGACCTGAGGAAGATACCCTGAAGCCTTTTGTTACAGCTCCAAACCAGCAAAGAGAAATCAGGTTTTTATCTACCAGCACGCTGCCAAGTTACAAATGGCGAAATATTGGAAGCATAGCTTTGCCTTGGACTATGGAACTCTAATGAAACCGACATTTATTTATTTTTCCTAAAGGGGCTAGGAAAGATGCTCCATCGAGATGGCTTTCATTTCGAGAGGAGTTGGCACCTATTCACTTTTTCAGGATGGATCCATAACGGATCACAGGGAACAAGATGAACAGGGCTGAAGCTAAGGGCCAGGGCATGGATGGGGGACCATAAGGGAAGCTTACAAATGCCGAGTCAACACCACACTTTTCTTCCAATTTACCCTGCCTCCAGTTCCCCTCTCTCTATTCTGTGTCAGTTTCTGTGTAAGCAACAGAGACCTCCCCACTTTAACATCTTTGTCATGCAAACCTTCCTGAGCCCGAACATCAAAATAAGCAGTCTTGCTCTTTGGCCTAATATTAGCTAAGCTCTAATAAGCAGGCAGCAAAGATGGGAACTATTTTGCTGGTTTCTCCACAACTGTTGACATCCCTCACTGGGAAGTTAGTCTTTCCTTTTGGCGATGCTGTTTGAAGAAGTTTTTTATTCTATCAAGACTTTTCTATATGCTGCTTATATTGTCTTTTGCAAATTTTTCAATGTCCCTACTTGCTTTTTTGAGAAAGTGAGTTTTAGCGTATTTTATTGTGATCCTTTGTTCTGAACATAAGCTCCCTTGGAAATTTTGGTTTTAAAGTTTTGGTTTCATATATAGAACACTTGCTTGGAAAGAGGGTAGAAATTCTCTAAATAAAAGGAAGCACCAGGCACTGAAATGCTGTCACACTGATGATGATTCTGACAGTACAATCAACAATAAATACTCGGCATCCTGCCTGGAGTTCCATGACAGGGGGATGGAAGATGCAGTATTCCAAGACTTTGTACAGAATGAAAAAAGATTTCTTCTTCTTCTTCTTTTTCTTTTTTTTACAACAGCTGGAACTGAGAAAATTCTTTGACCTTTGTGCAAGAAGGCTGGAAGGAAGCGCTGTCATTCCGAGAAGGGCAAGAAGATTCTGCAAGGGCCCTTATTGTCTCTCTAAAGGATTCCAGGCCAGGGGGCGGCTGGGGAGGGGGGGGGCAGGCTTGGCTGGATGATCACTGGGCTTCTTGCCCCCCCTCCCTGTATCGCTGGCCTGGGGGAGGGCATCAGCCCCCGCCATCCCGCCCCAGAGTGGTCCTCTTTCCTGGGTGTGTAACCTCCTCCTTGGATGACTCAAGAGCGGCAAAAAACACCCCTCCGGAGAGGGAAGGGGCGGGGAAGGCAGGCCGAGAAGAGCCCGAAACCGGAGCCCGGAGGGCCTGCTCGCACGAGGGGCGAAAGCGGAAGAGGCCAGCCGGGCCTCACCTGCAGCGCGGCCGCTTTCCGCCCGGCGAAGGCACCAGGCGGCGGGAGCGCAGCGTTTACGCAGGAGCGAGGGCGCACGCGGAGGCGGGCCGGCCGGGAGCCCCCCTCTCGCCCTCGCCCCCCCGGGTCAGGGGGCCTGGGGAGCCCCGGGGCGAGCGGAAAGGCAGCCGGGGGCCCGGCCCTCCCCCCCCGCCGGTCTCCCTCCGTCGCCAAGCGAGCGGCGGCGGCGCCCGCCCGCCGTCCCCAGTTTCGCATCCTCTGCCCGGGAAGCGAGGTGGGGCGCACGGAGGGGCGGGGAGGGGGCATCGGCCCGTGGGGAGGGGCCGGGCTCCCGGGGACTGCGGGAAGCCCAATTCCCACCCCAGGTGGGGCATGCCTCGGGGGGGGGGTTCCCCTCTCCTCGCCCACCGGCAGCCCCATGCAAAATGGGAGGGGGTGCACGCCCCCTGCCTGCGGCTCCCCGCAGCCCCTGGCCCCCCGTCAGAGGTGGCGGCGCTCGCTTGCCTGCAAATATGGGAGGGGGACAGGACGGGGCCCCCGCCCTCACCCGCAGGAGGGCTGTGAGCAAGGGGCTTGCCAGGGGGGCGAGAAGAGCGGGGCTCCGTCCCCGATGCTCAGGGAGCGGTCTAGGCCGCATCTCAGCTCCCCCCCCATCTGATCACCATGGAAACGCTACCAGGAGACAACACGTCTGCCTCCCCCCCCCCACTTCTCGGCAAGACCTGCGTCGACTTGGGAATGGGATGGGGGGGTCGTGGGGAGGCAGGATTGGCTGCACTTTCAGCTTCTCCCCCCTCCCAGGAAGACTTCATCCTCTAGAAGGCTTGAGGGGAAAGGGGGGGGGCAGAGGCAAAGTGGGAAAGCGGCCCCTCCGCCCCACCAGCCGCAATCAGCCCCTCGCGCCCGAGACAGGATACTGGGGAGCCGCGATGCGTTGCTGAGCTCCCCCGGCCCATTAACGAGGCTAGAGACGCCGGGCAAGGGGGGGGGGGCGCTGCGTGGCTGACCCCCGGGCAGGAAACCGGCGAAGGGCCCCCAGTAAGGCGGGGGTCTCGCCAATCCCTTTTCTTCCAAGAAATATCAATCATACGCCGGGCATTTAAAAAAACATTGAGAACCTTCGTAAATATTCTTGAGACATCTTTTTCTTTAAACAAAAACGACGACGCGCCGTGCAGAAGGAAACAGGCCTCAGACCGGCCTCGCCACCGTATCCAGCCCAAAATGTAAAATATTCTCGATTGCAGGAAAAGAAAACGAGAGGGCGAGATTCTCCATCCACTCCTACCCCACCCCCCAAAAAAACCCCCCAACACCCCCCCCGGACAACACACACAGGGAACAGTGCAGCCTTCCTCCCCCCGCCGGTAGCACCCCCAAATATATCGGGGTGCGGGCAATCTTACCTGCTCCTCCTCGGGGCTCAGTTCTGCAGCCATCCTAATCCTTCCAACTCACACGACTTGATCGCAGAGATTAGGAGATCCTTAAGTCTTCCAAAGCCGCCCCTGCCCCCCCATAAAATTTAAATAATTGTCTTTCAGCCTCCCCCACCCCACTTACTGGGGGGGAGCGGTGTGATCCAAGAGGCCTGCCTTTTTCACGTTTTCCTTTTGGCCCTTCAACTCGGGCTGCCTCCAAACTTGGAGGATCGCATTCTTCAACTTCTTCCTTTTAGGATCACTTCAAAAAATATATATATGCATAGATCTGGTTAAAAAAAAAACCGGGAGGGAAGGAAGAGAAGAGAGCGGAGGGATGCGATTATTTATTTATTATTATTTTTGCGTCATCCTCGCCTTGTCCAAGCCAAAACATACAATGCAACGACTGAAAAAGAAAAAAAAGTTACAGAAAAAGAAAAAAATGGTCCCGCAACACGCACAGAAACACTCAGAAGCACCCAAAACTCCCCATTTCTGATTTTTGCTGCAGGAAATGCCTCCTTGCCTTAGCACAAGGCAATATATAGGAAGGCGAAAAGGTTGAAAGAAAAAAAAAGGGGGGGGGGAGAGAGAGAAAGGGAAGGACACGGCTCTTTCGAAATCGCAAAACTTCCCAGCCTCCGAGCCCAAATTCTCCCCAGATTGTGCGAAATCGTCTTCTCTGCAAAGCCCTCTCTGCTGCTACTGGGAGGAGGAGGAGGAGGAGGAGGAAGAGAAGGAAGGGGGGCTGGGAAAGCGAATTAGTAGGAAGCTGAAAATTCCTTTTTGCTTTCAGGACTTGAGCCTTCTTTCTGCTGCTGCCACCTCCCTCTCTCCCTCCCTCTTGCTCTGCTTGGTTGCTCGCAACCTTCGTTCCTCAAAAGCAGCAGAGAGAGAGAGAGAGAGAGAGAGACGGAGGGAGGGAGGGAGGGGAGGGGAGGGGAGAGGAGGGAGGGGGGGAGCCAAGGCAAGCCAAGCCAACCCCCTCCCCTGGCGAGCTGATGCGGTTCGCGTTCTCCCCGCCCCCCGGGCTCCATTCAGAAACGGAATCTCATTCACGGCGGGCAGGCGGGCAGCGAGAGCGAGGGGGCGCCCAGCCCAGGGAGGAGGAGGAGGAGGAGGAGAGAAAAGCTGCGGCCAAAGTCCAGCAGGAAACTCTCCCAGGGAGAGAGAGATGGATGAGCAACTGGGGAGGGAGGGAGGGAGGAGGGAGCAAGAGGGCAGGCGCCCCACATCGAAAGGGGACCCCAAAAAAGCCGAGGTGTGCAGCCCAGCCCCTGAGCAATGGCAGTGGAGGTTTGCCCCTCTCCCCGCAGGCTGCGTGGGCACCCACGCGAGGCTCCTCAGGCGCGTCTAGCCAGGAGGAAGCCCCCCTGCGCCCCCCTGGGGCTTCCTCCCCGTAACCGTAACCGTAACCGTAACCGTAACCGTAACCGTAACCGTGTGCCGCCAGGGCAGCCCTCAGGAAAGGTGTTTTTCCGCCGCTCACCCTTGCAACCGAGCACCACCGGCCGTGTTGGGGAAAGGAGCACTGCTCCCCGCGTTCGGGCCAGTACTTTGAAAGCGTGGCAGCAAGGAAACGCTCGTTGATTGCCGGCCTTGGACTCGCACTGGACTGCCTTTTGAGCAAATGGGCTGCACCGAACGCTTGTCTCCAGCTCCGCAGGGCTCGACTCTCTGGCCGGTTTCAGCCACCTGTGAAACACACGGGTGCAAGACCGACCCGAGTTGCCACGGTGTGTCTGGGCCTGGCAACAAGTGTCTGCAGGCTGGGAGCCAACCCAAACCAAGCCAGTCCTGTGCACAGAACGAGCAGAACCCTAGGAATTAGGGTTAGTGTGGTGCAGTGGTTAGACCACGGGACTGGGACTTGGAGGATCCGGGTTCGAGTCCCCACTCAGCCATGGAGCCAACTGGGTGACTCTGGGCCAGTCACAGACTCTCGGCCCAGCCTACCTCACAGGGTCGCTGTGGGGATAAGATGAAGGAGGAGAACGATGTAAGCTGCCTTGAGCCCTTTGTAGGAAAAGGCAGGATATCAATCAATCAATCAAGGCAGCACCTTACACAAGGTCAAGAGGACTCGTCCATCTGCCCCAATATTCCTGGCTCTGACTGGCAGCGCCAGGGAGGACACCCGGCCATTGGCCACCCCGTGACAGTCACCCGCAAGGCAGTCTGGCCTAGTGAGGCTGGCTAAAGGTCACCACCCTTTCTCATCCTGTCCCTCCAAATGCACTGGACTACAACTCGGTTGGCACGGCCAACAGTTACGGCCCAGGCACCTGGAAGAGCCCACGCAGGAGAAGCCCGGAATCGGCCATTCCCAACTCTGATCCCGCCAGGGATGGGCCAAGCCTGCACGCACACCGCAGAGAGAGACAACACACAGGCCGATATGAGCTTGACCTCCTGTCCCCTGGGCGTTTGGGCCCCATGTGACACGCGGCCTGTGCCTCTCAGACATATCTGCTTCAGGCCTGCAGCTTGCGGGATCTCAAAATTAGCCTTTCCTTTTTAGGGGATATCAGGAGCTCCTGCTTGTGCTGGAGATGCTGACCGCAAATGCCAAAGAAATGTCAGATGTGCTGTGGAACTGGGAGCCGAAGGGCCGGAAAAATGTGTGCAGAACTGCTCTGGCCTCCAGCACTTTACCATGCAGGGGGGAAGGCCTTGTGCTTCGGTCCAAGCGGAGGCCAGGGCCATGGATTCCAATGGTGTGTTCATCCATTCGCCCATCACAATTCTGTTCAAGGGCCCTGTTATGGAGAGCACCCGTTAATCTCATGTCCTAATCGCTGCACGCACATATTTATTCTTGATAAACCCATCCCAACTGAAGGGCCTGCCTGCTTGCTCCACGGCCTGCAGAAAGAATTCACAATGAGAAAAAACAAAAACAAAATCAAGCTGAAACCCACCATCAGACAGCTCTAAAAGCAATAAACAATAAAACCCGAGCATAATGAAGCCGATAGAAAACTCCTTCCAGAAGCACGAGCTTTAAAAGGTTTTAAAAGGCTTAAGAGGGGATGAGGTGAGCTGTGCGTGTTTGTGTGTTTTGAAACTCTTTCAGCCAGAGGAACAAATTTTGTGTTGGGGAGGCACACCTGAGTGGTGGGCGAAGCCAAGCAAGCAATGAGGCAGGGGAAAATAACCAAAATATAAGCTTGTTTTAGTTTACAGCTCCAGCTATTGGTAAGAAAGCCCTAGGAGTGAGTGGCATTCCCACCTTTTGGAACGGACAATCGAACACACGCTTAAAAGCTGGAAAAGCACCAGGCCACGTACAGCCAGGGAGAGACTGTCTGGAAACACCAAAGCCCAGTCTGGGCAGCTAAGGTGCTGCACCCACAGCCATATAAACCAGCAGCCAACAGGTGCAAGGAATTGCCTCAGCTATCATGCCAGTAAGTTTCTGGCCAGCAAAGCACAGAGACCTTCAGGAAATGCAACTCAGTCTTTCGTCATAAGAGGCTTTTTGTGTCCTTCCTTTAGGGACTCTTTTAAATAAGGGCGTCCCCTTGATTTTTCTGAGCATCTTTGCCTCCTTCCAGTTGCCCCTCAGCTGTGCTCCCAAGAGCACCCAACGCTGTATAAAGAAGATGTAATTCTGCCACATTAATGATTTTGCCACGTTAATAATTTTGTCCGCAACATCTCCAGTTTTGCTTAGTGGTAGTGCCATATTCTGCTTTTTGACTCTTGGACTTCGTGTACCAACCTCCATCATAATCAGGACCGGAAACATGGACAAACACACAAACGGAGTCTCCCAGCCATGTGAGCAGCACGCCCCATCTGAATTCTTCCCGGTGAAGGGGCTGCGGACTCAAGTCTCCTGCATGATTCTACCCATGGCGGCACCGAAAGGGAGCCGAACGATTTGAAGTTTGCAGCCCTGTGTGTCTGGTCCAACCTGCCAACACTGTATGCCAAGGTACTGCCCATCCGTTTTCTAGCATGGCTTTACAAGCATAAGGACTAGAACCTTTAAAAAATCAAGGATGCTGAGACTTGTGGGAAGCTGTATTTTGCAAACTGCATTCTGCTATTCTTCTCCAGCCTATACATGTCAAAGCCATGCATTGAGGAGAACGCTTAACACAGAGAAATTAACTATCACGTTTGTTTCTCACATCCAGCATGCTGTTTTCTATTTGTTGCACGAACACACGAACAGCTCTTGCTCTGTTTCCCGCCACAGTTGCTGCTCCCTTGCACTATCAGAAATCAAATGGTTTGCGAGCCGCCTACATGCTTGGCAATGAAAACATCATTTTCTGAGAAAAAGCCGAGCGGGGGGGAGGGATTTAAATGGCCCTTCTGTCTGTTGGTAGAGAGTAACTCCTGCCTCATCATCTACTGGACATGGTGCAATTTCTCTTTAAAACCACCCAGAGTTATTCAGAGAATCACTGGTAAAGTGGAGCAGCATGAATCGCACGAAAAAGATGAATCATCTTTTAAACTGTGAACTGACTTCCTTGTCCAAACATCATACCTCTGTAAACACTGAAGTGCCTCTTCTGGCAGCTAGTTTGGCACCGGCCAGACTTCTTGCCCTTCTTGATTTTTTTAGTTCTTAAGGCTGAGTTTTAATTATTAGACTGTTTAAATATGCCGTCTTCCAGTGCCGCCTTTCCTTGGGTTCAGAAGAGAGGTGTTCTCTCTGCAGAGCTCAGACCACTCCCCTGCTTCAGTTCTCTTGTGGTTTTCAAAAATGGGCAAGTCCCCATCCCGTTGCAAGCTTTTAGTGAGGGCCCAACGTTCTTTCTCAAAATGTCAAAGATGCCATCTGGCTTTAAAAGGTTGGGGACCCCTAGAATACCTTAACAAGACATGTTCTTCATGCAGGATTGACTGGTACACAATTCAAAACCCATTCATTGCTTCATAAAATTTTCAGGGCACTGTGTATGGCATTGTAGGAGTACCACAATAACAACAAAAACAGGGTAGAGCAAGCCATGGCTCAGTGCAGAATAGTTTCCTAAGAAACGCTCTTCACTTTGATACAGATTTTTAAAAAGCGTCTAGTCCTTAACGGCTGGAAATTCTGTGGGTGATGCCTAGGGAGATCCAGAAGCTAGATAGGCATCCTGTTTCACTCTTTGAATTAGCAAAATAAATGATGCGGAAGCAGATAAACCATGCAGACCAATTGTGGAATTAATTCACTCATCATGGAACCCAATCTTTATTTTTAAGTACAGCACATTCATCTCTGGGCATAATTCTGCTCAAAATCCATTGGTATGGATTCGCTCCAATTTTCTCCTCTGGGGAATGCATGGGAACTAGGAGGCAGTTATCCTTCGCCAAATTAAATGGATCTAAGTCTAAGAGAAGTCCGCACCAGTTTTTTAACCTAGCTTTCCACTGACAATTCAGCTGCTATTCTAAGCATAGCTAGACAGCAGTTCTACATTTCCCAATGTTAAGTCGGATGGGACTTATTCCCGGGGAAGCCTGTGTGGACTGCAGCTTCACAGCACAATTGCATGCATGTTTACTCTGAAATAAGCCCCACTGAAGCAACTCACTTTGGGGCAGCGTGCATGAGATTGCAGCTTCGGGGGCAATCCAGTGCCGTCTTAGCAACTCCCAATACTTCCCAGCCAGCACTTTGTTGGAGTTCTCCACTCAGCATCGAAATAGGCACATTTCCTCCCTTCTAGAGAACATTCCTGTCCAGAAACAGACTTAGAGAGGTCTGGAGATCATCTCCTTACCCACAGATGCTTGAAGGCTATGATTTGGCTAAAGCTGGAAGAAACTGGCTTTCACATTCCTACTCTTCCATCCACAACGAAGACACTCCAGGCTCCATACACAAGTTCTCCAGGACCAAGAGAATTTCCTGGTCTAAATACACATTCCAGGGAAGCAGCTCCCTATATAAATGAAGCCCATTGAGCTAGCGAACGAAAAGGATGGACCTGTCTTTGTGCTCACAGCACAGAGCATCTTGAGCAGACGTTTTCAGAATGCTGCAGCATTAAATTTTAACACCGACAGAAGATGACTCTAAATAAATCAAATTACTTGTTCCGTGCTTTCCTGTCCAAAAGTGGGAGAAAGGGAAACTTTCTGCCAGAGGGTGCGATTTAGTTCCGGAGATTTTGGGGGGCACATTCCAGGGGTGAGCAAACGGAGCAGGGTGAAAACACCAACCCATTTTAGTGGAAAGCTGTCCCTGCCAGCACCCAATCCTTAAAAACATTTCACCATTTTTAGAACTGGGTGATTAAGGATGGGTCGGAATGGGGCCCCAAAGGGGCTGGACCCGATCCAGTCTGAAGCTCCCCACTCCTGCTTGAAGTGGGAGCCTGAAAAACAAATTCACTGTATTGGAGAACATGCAAATTGTAATCATGAATTATTATTCTTAGTTATAGCAGTAACTGGGTGTTCTTGGCCAGGCAGCTGATGAGAAAAGCAAGGAAAAACAGGAGAAACTTGGAACAGCGATTGTGATTTTGGCTTAATGGGGGACAAAAGGTACCGGGGGACTGAAAGAGTAAGACGAGGCGGGGAGTGAAAGAAAAGAATCCTCTAATAAGGCACCAGAGTCATTCTAGATCTTTCAGAGGTTCTTTATTCAGTGAATCTGAAATCCACACATAAGAAAACCATCTCCATATTGTTTCCAAGACTCCACAAGTGTGACAGAGGGAGATGGAGATGTTTTTGTTGGAGAAAAGTACTTTAACGTGAAGGAGGGAAAACAGAGCTCCCTAAGCCACGTTTCTCTTTTCCTCCTCTTCTGCAGAACACTACTTCTAACCCTCGGAACCAGATTTGCTGTGAAATGCGGGAGCTTTAAGGTACACAAGAGCTGTTCTGGATCAGAGCGGTACAATTTACCAATAGAAACCTGCATAAGATAGCTTCACAAGTTGCTCCACAGAATATTAATGAACTCAACCATCCATTTTTTAAGGCTTTTAATCTCAGGTTTGGACCTAAGACTTGCAAAAGCATGATGAAAGCCTGCCATTGAAAGTGGCTTTCCTTCCTGACCATCACACGCAAACACGGGAGGGTACCATCTGGACCTCCCTTCAGTGGGATGTTATCACCAAGGTTAATTCTCCATCTGGTCAACAGCATCCCTTGAGGCTGAGACTGTACCCTGTGATTTAGGTGTGGACAAGTGTTCCAGCTCGTAGCGTCCATCTTGCATCGTCTCACCCGTGTTGGAGGCGTCTTCATCGGCAGCCTGTTTTTTACTTCGTTTATGCTCGATAATTTGCTGTAGCTGGTGCCCGGCGTAGTCCGGCTTGGTGGTCAGTGGACAAACAGGCACAGCTACACCCAGGATGTCTGACACCATGTAGGGACGGAGCCACCCCACGAGCGGAGTGCTGCCCGGGTTGTAATGGCTTTGCTTGTGATAGAAGAGGAGTCCGTCTACCTGCGAGGTTAACAGAGAGAACAGGTAGACAGCAGTCCAAGGCTCAAGTGGCATGCTCTCTTGGGACTCTCACACACACCTGTTTCCTGCAGGTACATTCTCATCAGTCCTCCCTGCCTCCAGAACATGTAAGTGCCCTTGCAGCTGAATTTAGGCCTTCCTGGACAGGATATTGGCTCCAACAGATAGTGTCAGAGTAGAGCGTATAAAGGAGAGTTTGCCCATTTCCTGGCTGTGACAGATGAAGCAAAAAATACCTGTAATCTAGACAAACGCTTATAATATTTTAGATTCTCTATTTCATATTTTATGTCTGTGTTTTAATTGAAGTGTGATGTGTCCTGCTCATGGCGTTTGACTGACCACTGCAGAACAGGGAATGCTATATTATTAACATGAGATCAGCAGGAGAGGCCCTTCTCCGGCAACCCTCCGTGAAGGATATTAGGAGGGTAAGTACTCGGAGGAGGGCCTTCTCTGTGGTGGCGCCCAATCTATGGAATGAGCTACCCAGAGAGGTCCGCCTGGCGCCATCGTTGTTTGTTTTTCGGCGCCAGGCCAAGACCTTTTTATTTAAACGGCATTTTAATCGTTAGCTTATTTATTGATTTTATATCTTTGGCCAGGACTTCTCCAATTATATTGTTTTTATATTGTTATTATTTATTTATTGTTGTGAGCCGCGAGGCTTCGGCAAATGGGGCGACATAGAAGCTTTCTAAATAAATAACCTCATCATCCTCATCATCAGTTCATCAATGTTTATACTGCCCAATATCCGAAACTCTCACAGGAATTCATACAACACAAGAAAACTATAGCCGAAAATACTGGTGCAGCTACGTGACATTTCAAGATCCATCATTTAAAAGCAATTCAAACAAACTAAAACCATGCAATACAAAACTAGATCTGTTAAAACTCGGCCCGACATGACTCATCATATGCCAGCCTTCTGATTATCACCTTGACCATCAACACGATGTTCCTATGAGGCGACGCTGGCGCTGTGTGGTTTTATTCTTGCGCAACGAGGGGCGCCCGCACCGGCTCAGGTCCTGGTGCCAGGCACAGACTTTCCAGGCCGTCTGTTTTCTGCCCAGGAACTGACCCGACCTGGGCCTGCTTAGCTTCAGAAGGACTGACAAGTCATGTGCCTTCAGACCACACCCTGGGTCCATTTGCACAAGGGGAACACAGAGCCGCAAACACACCCGCCAGCTCGAATTCAGCAGCTGTCCATTTCTAGTCCATTTCTATCCTCACATCCTTCGCACGCACACACAATTTGTCGGCGGAGGTAGCACAAATGTGCAGTTCAACCTTTCTGCGCCGAGCGCGTGACCCATGACGTCGCTAAGCCACAGAGCTGCTGCTGTTTTAATTAAAGATACTGGGAAGGCAATTAAGTGCCTGGAGAAAGAAAGAAAGAAAGAAAGAAAGAAAGAAAGAAAGAAAGAAAGAGTGAGCCATGAAGGCAGAATGTTTCCCTACAAGTATCATCCCTTCTCCACTTTCCATCACAAAACTGGATTATTTTCAGCAGCATCAATATTTATTTCATTCCTATACCGCCCCACCGCTGAAGCTCTGTGATAGAAATACACATGACCAAAATATCAGCAAGACATTAAAATGTTTAAAACCGCTAAAAACAGATGACAAAAACAAACAATGCAAAGAGTCTGACTATGCAACACCTGGTGAGCCTGGGGGGGGGGGGGAGTCCTTAAAAGCCTCAGAAAAGAGGGCCATATCAACCTGGCAACAAAAAGATGACTGATTTGGTGGCAGCCGGGCCACAGTGGTGAGGTTATTCCACAGATGGGGGGCCACCACCAGGAAAGCCCTCCCCTGGGTCACCACCCCCACATTTCTCAGAATTAGCGCTTGAAGAAAGACTCCAGAGGTTGAGTGAACAACTAGGGTCATGACTGGATGCCATCTAGAGGTTTTGGACTACAACTCCCACTGGCTTATTCTGGCTGTGGCTGATGGGAGCTGAAACCGTGCCGTGGGTTTGAATCATGGGCCCTTTGGGGAGTTTGTTGTGGCTGAAAACATGGGAGGAAATGAACGTAATTAAATCGACGGCTTGCCTCAGCTTGTGGGTCAGAACACACATGTAAACTAACAGGATCCAGTCCAACGAGCAGGTCTGAGCAACTGCTCCAACTGCTCCGCCCACATCCTCTGGCTTTGTCACTGATAAATGAGTTAACAATGGGAGGAAAGCACAGCGGTTGGAATCTCATGTCTTCGATATTCACTAGTATTCCAAGGAAAGCAAAATCTCTAAGTCAGCTTTTGTGCTGCACGGAACACAGCTCTGAAAGCACAACAGAATGTGTTCTTTGGAATGGTTTCCCTGCTCCTCGCCCACTCCCCCAAAATCAAGGATTTCAACTCCAGTGCTATTTCAGGTCCAGAGCCCTCTCTGTTTAGAGATACAGAATAGTTTCAGGAAATCCCAAATCATCAAGGGCCGGTGTGGATGCAAGCCAAGGACCACAGAAAGAAAGGGTGTCTCCAAACAGATTCACAGAGATGGCACAGGGCTAAGCGTGGGATGTTTTCTATCCTGCTTAAGATCAGCCTGCTGGAGCGGGCTGGAGAAATTCTTAATAAATCCCAGGGCCCTTTATCCTGCCATCAGCTCCTTCCTCTACAATGCTGCAGCTGGTTGCTCTCCTGCCCCCCCACCCCCCATTAGTTGCTTCCTACTTAAGGCCTCCCCTTAAGCAGTAAAAAAGATTTTTCTATTACTCCTTCTGGTTGACTCCCAGGAGGGAGAGGAACAGAGACTTAAAGAGACCCCGCTGTAGGGCCTTCCTCGGATTCGAGTCGCGGCGGCTTTCAGCTAAATTGACCTGGGCTTTTTAAAAGGCAATTTGTGTGCAAGGAAATGATGACTATGGAAAAGAAGCGGGGAGGGGGGGAAGGCGAGTGTATGCCTGAAGCATGACAAACACCTGGAGGGCTTTGCCCAAGTTCAGTTGCTTGGAAGATGCTGGCCTGCATCTCTGGCAGGCGACGATGCTCCTCACTCTCCTCACTCTCCTCACTCTCCGTGGGAGTCAGCACCTTCCTCCTTTCAGGAGGTCTGGGATGGATGGAAGCAGGGATGGAGGGGGGAAAAGCTTGGATCGATAGGACAGCACCAGGTCCTGGTGACCTTGCCGAATCGCAGCCTCACCGCTGCCGAGCAGGGCTCTGCTTTCTTGCCAAGGCCCAGCACGGCACCTGCGTGATTCCAGAGAAGTGGAACAAAGGGACGCCTGCGCACCTCGTCCTGGAAGCGGGAGACTATGTGGGGATGCGCGGATGTAATGTGAAGGCTTGCCATGGCACTCGCTCTGGGAATATGCCCCACATCCAGGCACTCGTGTTCCCCACCAGGAGCCGATTTGCTGCTCGCTACCCTGGGTAATGGCGAGCCACAGCTGCAATTCCGTTTGCAGATGCTGGTCTGGACTTACCCAGTCCACAGGATGCAAGGGGCAAATGATAGCGTGCTTCGGACCCTTGCTCAGAAGTCCTCTGCCACGGTCTACGGGGGGGAGAAGAGGCATTCGGCCGTGGTGGATCCTCAGGGCTCCGTTTTGTACATGCTCAAAAGGCTCATGCACAGTCCTCAACTTGGCCAAGCTATTCCAGCTCAGCTCAAAGTCTGATCCACACATAAGCTACAAAGCCTTCCTTTGGCCTGAGCGAAAACCGCCTCTGACACGTCTTGGCGTGTTTCTCGGCTACGTCTCACTGACAAACCCCCGGCTCCCAGCTGACTGCTGCCCGTCACTTGAGAAACCCCCCAACCAAAACCACCTTGCTCAGAAAGTCTCATCTGGCACTGACAATGCAGTCTTTTAGCACCAGGTGAAGAATGTTTATTTTGCTGGCATTTTAGTCTTCCAGTCCCTGCTGCTTTCGGATCTGTGACTGCATTTCGAATCTTAGCACTGCCGCCTTTCAGTTTGGTCTCCGAGGTTGTTTTAAACCTTTCAAGCTTTTTGTTATGTTTGATCACGCTACATTTAATTATTGTAACCGATGTGGACTGCCGAGAAAGCTTGGGCTATGAAGCAAATAGTAACGGAATAAACAGCGTAAACACTAATAACAAACTCATTTGCCAGGTGCAGATTCTTTTGTAGCAAATGCAGTGCTGTCTCTCTCTGCGAGAAAGGAATCAGCAGCCCTGGGGGGAGTCCAAGGACTGTGGAAGGATGCAAATCCAATGCCCCACTGCAGAAATTAGGTGTCCCAAGGGTGTGGGGGACTCCCAGCATAGCCCAGGAGGGATAGAAATCTGAGAACGGCACAGAGGATCCTGGAAAAAGCCCGAGCAGCAAGCTCCCACTTACAAGATGTAATGCCGAGCTCTGGGAATTGCGCTGCCTTGCCACACCCTTAGAATGGCAATCTGGAAATTTTCGAGCAACACGTCCCTGTCCTTGCAGAGTGCAGGTGTCATTCAGCAGCACGTAGAAAGCTCACCGGACCAAGATGCACACGCTCACTGAGACGTCGGTGTTGCTGTCCTCCCGCAACAACAGCGGAGGCAAAACACAGTTTCTGGCAGGAAGAGTTTCAGCCCAGTGCGGAGGCAGCACCCGGTTTTGTTTGTTTGAAAATTAAAAATCCAGGCAGAATTTAACAAATTCGGCTCAAAACAGCTGTGCCTTTAGCCAGCTTTCTCCCAACCTGGGGCCTCTCAGCTGTGCTGGACTACAATTCCCATAATGCTCTGTGCAGCTGATGACACGGGCTAGAGTCCACAGAGGCCTGTGCCCGAAATAAAAGTTATTTGGCTTTAAGATGTCTCAAGACCCTTTTTCTGGGAGGGGGGGCTGCCAAAGACTGACATGGCTAGCCTCCGGAAATTAAAAGTGGTCGGCCCTTTTAATTAAGCCATTACAAAATACACAAATGAGGTCTGTACCAATGAAATAGATTTAAAAATAGAAGAATGTCCTCAGGCTGGGCAAACCCTTTCCTCTCCCAAGCCTGCAAAAATAGTGCTTTGCCAAAAAGAGAGAGAGAGAGAGAGAGAGAGAGAGAGAGAGCGCATCATTAGCACCTCTAAAAGGACGGAAATGCAGGCAGCCATTCCCGTCCGCGGCGTGACGGTGTACAAGGAAAGCCCAATTTAGTGCCACCACTGGGAGAATGGCCTCCTCCCTTTGGTGGCCCACATCATTCCACCTTGGAGTGCGTCTCGTGTTTATTTAATGCACTGTCTGTCTCCTTGCCACTGAGTCACGCTGCTGACGCCAGCCTCATCAGGAAAGGAAGCTAAAGTTACCGTCTGTGCAAAGCCCGGGACTTGACTGGGAGGTATTTGCATCAGCATTTCACTCCGCAGGCAGGCAGAGGGGCTTGAACTAGCTTCAGGCCACGGGTGGCCAGATGGGAAGCAGGGAATGAGCCCCGGAGACGCGAGGCGTTCAGCAGGTGTCGCGTGCTGTGCATCACCTGCATGGGGACACCCTCCCTGCGGAGCCGCTCTCAGCCCAGGGACCAAATTCCATGCCGGGAAGGCTCCCTGGGGCTGCGTTCTCGTCACAGGAGTGCCAAAAGCAAGAGAAGGCGGCCAAAAATAGCAGGACGGTATTTTAGGCTGCATGAATAGGAGTATCACTTCCACATCCCATGAAGTCCTGGTTCCCCTTGACTCAACACTGGTTTGAGAGAGGTGCAGAGAAGCTGGAAAGGGTTCAGAGGAGGGTGGCAAAGATCATCCAGGACTGGAAACAAAGCCCTAGGAGGAGAAATGGAAGGAACTGGGCATGTTTGGCCTCAAGAGGAAAAGACCGAGAGGCGGTTTGCTAGCACTCTTCAAGTCCTTGAAAAGTTGTCACGGAGAGAAGGGCCAGGATTGCTTCTTTAGCATCCCAGAGTAAAGGACATGGAAGAACAGGCTCAATTCCAGGAAGCCAGATTCCAGCTGGGTATCAGGAAAAATTCCCTGTCAGGGCAGCACAACAAAGGAACCGGTGGCCTAGGGAGGCTACGGATCTCCTCCACTGGAGGCACTCAAGGTGCAGCCGGATCTGAGAGGGACGATTTAAAACCTGGAGTCCTGCACTGAGCAGGGGGCGGACTCGTCCGACCCTTCCAATTCTCCTGTCCCGTGACCCTGTGATGCTCACACACGCAGCTCCTACAACGGCCAGCAGGGACAGAGCTTGGCTGGGCCCCCTCTAGTGGAAGCTGCACATGACCAGTGCTGCGCCAGATCTAGTCCTGTGCACACAATGCCTTCCCCGGTGGATCAAGAGGCTCCATTTCTGGAAAGGAATAATGAAGCTGGCAATCTTGGCCGTAACTCTGAGCTATGCAAGTCTCTTCGTCAAGCAGCAGCCAAGCCAGTTCTCGGGCTGGCTTCAATACAACAGGTTTGCGACTCTGCTGGGCAATCCTGAGAACAACTACGAAGGGCGCATTATCTACCACAGAAGCCGAAATGGCTTTGAGTGATTATTTCCTGCAAGCCTTCCTGGGAATGATAGGCTAAGGCAGGTGCCAAGAATGCTGTTACAAGATTCCAAGCTCCTCCTCTCTCTCACAGAAGTACAACTTCCAAGAATCCCCGGGAAGAAAGAGTACAGACTGTTAAATCATTTAAAACCTGTGTGAGAGAGATTTCCTAAACAATCTGTCATTCGGTTACTAATTAAAGCAACAGAGGTACAGTCTTATGCACATTTGGATAAGAAAAATATCTCACAGCTCCCAGTGTTCCTGGGAAATATAGGGGGTTTTTTCTGTATAAACATGCATGGGATTGTACCCGAAGGCTAGGCTACAATCCCATGCATGTATCTAGGAGAAAGTGCCCTTGAAAATAATGCTAAGTACTTCCGAGCAGACCTGTGCAGGGCTGCACCATAAGATCTATTACCATGGACCGAAGACTCTGCAGCTTTGAGCTTTCTCTCCTGAGGTGAATCCCCATTTCTGGAACCTGTTTCCACTTCTTTGATCTCCGCAAGGGCCAGCCTCGCATCCCAACTAGCACAATCACGCCTCACGTCACAAAGATTAGAAACAGATCTCAATCCTGGTTTAGAGTCTAAGCATGGTTAGGGGTGAGTAGGCTCTACGTGTCCCGGGGTATCGCTGAACCACAGGTAAACTCTTCGGGTAAGGGCTGTAGAGCAGACGCTTTGCACGGAGAAAAGGCCCCGGGATCAAATGTTGGCCTCGCCAGGTAGGACTAGGAAAGTGCCTGGATGGGGCCTGGATCCTTGGACAGCCAGCGTCACACAGGGCTGTTGATGCGGGACTACATGGGCCATTGGTCTGCCTCCGGATGCGGGGGAAGATGGGTGGGAAGGGGCTTCCCACAGAGGCATCTGGCCGGCTATCTCGGCCAGACAGATTCCGTCTGATCAAGCAGGGCTCTCCTTGCAAGCACAGAAGCGGTCGTTCCATGCCCTTGTACCACTGAGCCAGCCGTGGGAACAACTGGAGAACGGAGAAGAGACCCACCGCCACCCTCGTGCCGGCCGGGCCCTAAGCGCCTCTGCCGGCCCTCACAGGAGTCAGTGCGGTTCTGGAAGGGAAGCGGGGCAACCTGAAGGAATAAATTATCTTACGTAAGCCGTCCAGAGAGCCAGAGTGGTGGACAGGTTAAAAAGATCCCAAATAAATAAATTATATTGAGTGTCTTGATCTGCTGGTCCTGGTGTGGGTAGCACCAGTATTGTTTAATTACGCTTAATCATTATCATGTTCATTATTAATTGTATTGTTTTTGGCAGTTTAATTTTAAAAAATGAAAAAAAAAAAGAACTGCCACAGGTGAGGCCACGGAGCAGATCAGCTGCTGCAGGCAGAAAGGAACCTCGTGGCGATTGGTGAATTTTGTCCCCTTTGAACGGCCACTTGCAGTTTTGATTCCATATTACTGCCTCAAAGGTTCATTTAGTGCGTTTGGTCCTGACTTACACATGACTGATGAACAGTAATTGATATTATGCCGCCATTATTGATTTTGGCCACCCTGTAACTCATCTCAGAAGTAACAGTGCAGGTATGTGTGAAATGAACTATCTGAGTTGTTTCTTATTGTAACGATGTGCTTATTGTAATGGTCATTAAAAGGCTTCCTTGCATCGCCCTGAGTCACCCAGAGCTCTGCTGGGCAGTATGCAGACACAATAAATGCAACAAAATGGAAATGCACAAGCCCCCAGAGAAAAGGAAAATCGACGAGGCGAGGGGAGAGGTTTGAGCCGCACAAATGTTAATAAGTAACTTTGGTAGCCCCGCATGGATTTGTTGGGCTTCATTATTACCAAAACAAGATGTTACTACGGGAGACTTTGACCCCGGGGCTCTCAGTTCAGCGTGGCTAATGTTGGACAAGGGGAAAGGAGATCGTTTTGGTCCAACGTGGGCACATGACAAGTTCTGCTGACGCTGCTTTCATTTGGGTAAAGAGAAGCGACTCAGCTGCTCCTTCTACCACCCTGGCCAGTGACCCCGGTGCCTCCCAAGACGACTTGGAGAGCTCACCCGGCCAGGACCCGATGCTCGGTTTCAGCCCCTGCTGCCCTGGTCTAATCAAAGCAGAGAAGTGGGGTCTTTTCTTTGCGGGTTGGGGGAAGAGGGGGCTCCTCGGACAGGGAAGGTGTGTGGACTCAGCCGTCATGCAAATGTATGTCCAGAGCAGCTTTCCTATTGTCCTAGCAGGTCCTGAATGTGGGCTTTTTCAGTTGGGCAGGGGCCACTGGCCGGTCCAGCGGAAAGAAAGGGTGCTTCTCGAGGACAGCCAGACTGATCGCCCCAAAAGACAGCCTTTGGGGCGGCTAATCGGGCTATTCCGTACGGATGGTCGTGCACAAGGCCCCTGGTCCCCGAACAAGGGGGCAGGCAGTCCTCCCCAGAGCCTCTGGCTCACTGCTGCTGGATGTTTGCTCCACCCGTTCCATCAGTGAGGTCCTAGAGCCAGAGCGCTCAGCCACCCCACCTGTCTGAACCAGATCTCACGGTCTTCAGCTGCAGCGGGGTCGGACCACAGAAGCAGCCGGGCAATGAGTGGATCACCCAAGGAGTCAAGGGCATTTCAAGTTCTGGAATCGTTCTCGAGCAGGGCATTCGACCAAACTGCCTCACCGATGCCCTCACGATCCAGCCCAGTGCGTGAGGCAAAAGGCCTTCCCACTTCACTGCAGATGGCCAACCGTCTACAGCAAGTTTTCAAGTGTATAAGCTGTTTATCCCCAAGCGGAGCACCAGGGGATTCTAATCCGCTGTGGAAGGCATGGAAACCTTTGAAAACTAAGCCATCGTCTTGCACGCGTCCATCTCCATGGCTCAAATCTCCAAAGGAAGCGATTTAATTCCTGGATCAATACAAATATAGTTTGCCATCAGCTCTGAGAGGAGAAAGTTGAAGTCCCGGTTTGAAAATGGTTCTGCAAATGGGGGTCTATGCTGCGAAGTTTGTATATTCAGATATCCAAACCACGGAGTTAACACAAACAAGAGTTACAGGCTCACTTCAAGCTAAGGCTTCCAATTACTGTTTTTCTGGATTGAGAACCATGGTTGTATCAGTTCCGACATCACGCTAAATTCTATTGTTTCGTGCTTACTGGGTTAAGAACCCAAACCATGGTTTGATTTTCCAAGCATAAGGAGATGGTAGTTTGGAGCTCTTTACCTGCTTTAATCTCCCTACTTCTATCCCCCAGCACAAGAATCTCCAGAAACAAAGACACAATCCAGGCACCTTGCCAAACCAGGTACTGTCATGGCACAACTTCCAGAAAGTTCCAGAACTTCTGTCATAAAAACAGAACCCCCAAGAAAGGAAAACAGACCAGCAGTTCTAAGCCATGATTTGCCAAAGGCATGCCTGCAAACTCCAAGTAGGGCTAAGATCCTGGACTCGGATCTACGTGACCTAGGGCTTGCCACAACACCTGGATCGAAATTCTAGCCCAGTTCAGATGTAACCATCTCAGACCAGTAAGCCAATGAGCACTGAATCATTCGGTCAACAGAGCCCTCCTTGCTCCCGCTGTGGTGCAGGGAAAAGCTTCTGGGGTGTGTGCAAGGCGTTTCATTTCCTTTTGCATCCAGAGCAGGGAACTGAGATTCAATCTGTGCTTACGTTTCCTAATATAACCGTAGTTTTCTGGTCTGGATGTAATGGGAAGCTGAGATTTAAAAACCCAAGAAAAGTTTCGCTCTGGAGCAAGAGGGAAGGGAGGATGGTGCAGGAGACCTGATGCTTGTCCTCCGCCTAAGGCTGCGACATACGCGCCAGGGCCCTGCGGCCAGGAGACATCTCTCGCTCTGCCGTACCTGGAGAGGTGCATTATCCCAAGGAAGGGCTGGCAGGAGACCAGCGCTCTTTGCTGCAACCTGGCCCACCACCTGAGGGTGGTCCGAGCAGCAGCACCTTTGCTGGGGAGGCATCCTTACCCCAGTGTCCCTGCGGACAGGATGAAGGGAAGGCCGGGAGGCTGAAGGGCTCTGTGAACTAAACGCCCCCACAGTGGCCAAGGGGATGCTGCCTGGAGTTCCGGGAACTGGCTGGAAACGGCATATTTGGCGTGCAGAGAGCGACAACCTCCGGAACACATGCAGGATGCTTTGCCATGCGGGAAGTGAAATGCAGCGGCCCCTGTGGGCCGGCTGCTGAACCTGTCTGTCGCGCTGCCCAGGTAAGGGCAGAAGCCACACTGCGGTGGGCACCCAGCCCCGCTCTCAGGGGGCGCCCAGCCAGTGGGCCCGGGCGACTCCCCAGGTCTTCTGCAGCAGCAGGCACGTCCCTCGGCGCTTCGGTGCGCTGGGAGCGGCAGGCGGCTACTCACCTCGAAGGGGAAGTCCGTGGCCAGCACCTTGCGCAGGCTTTCAGGCGAACACGAATAGCTCTCCAGGCCCACAAACCTAAACTGGAAAAGGGGAAGAGGTCGGGGCGGGGTCTTGCACGGCCGGCTCGTGCCTCCTGGGGGCCTGTGGGCAAGCGACCCTCTGCACCCTCCTCCTGCTGTGGGTCCACCTTCTCTCTGCTACCGGCACCCGTCCCCAAGCAGGGGTGCCACTTGCTTGCCTGGCAGGCGGAAAGGCAGGGATTCGCGTGCCAGGCAGGTGGAGAAGGGGGGCAGCAGGGCCAGGGGACCGTGGGCAAGTGCCAGCCCTCCCTACTCTCGCTGCCAGTCCTCGGAAGAGAAGCTGTACCATGTCCCCCGCCCTTCCCGTCTTCAGCCCCAGAAGCAGCTGAGAAGGGCTTCCATCAGGGCTGGAGAAACCTGATGCCTCCAACCCACTCTCCCCCGAAGGAGAAATGCCTTGAAAACATAGGGCAGCCACTGGTTCATCTGCATCACAGCCAGAAGTTCAACAGGGACAGTTCCCACCTTGAAATACGGCGGGGAACCATCCCCCGTGAGTTTCTGCCCATCATTCAGCTGTTGGAGCCAGATGCCCAGGCATGGTGGAGGGAAGTAAAGAACCAAAGTTATCTTCTAAAAACAGGAATTATCATTGCTGAAACCTGGAGCCTGCAGAGACCAGCAAAGCAGAGAAGGGAGCTGCACCTGCTGAAGTGCTGTCTGACATGCAGCCAAAGTGCAAGCAGGTGCCACTTTTGTCCCTGCAGGCTAAGTGAAATACGACCCATGAATGACTGCCTGCCATTTACCAAGAAAAGTTCCATGCGCTCTGCTCCGTACCGGGAACTCTGCAGTTGTTTGCTTAGGAGATACAAGTTTGCAGGGTGGCAGAACCAAAAGAGGACCCAGCTCTTGACCCAGCGAAGTTGAGATAAGGCAGCAAAACGATGGAGGCAGCCAGTCCCATGCAGAAGAGGGATTGCTCTTCCTCCGAAGTAGCTGAGGCCTGTCCAGGAGTTGCCCCCCTCTGGTTTATCTTGTGGCCCCTAAACATTTTGGCCAGCATTTTCCACTAGCTCTGCTAGCTAAGAGCCGGTGGGATTTATAGGCCGAAACCTCTGGCTGGGCTGCGGGCACAGACTGAAGCACAGTGGCTGCCTGGTATTCTCCAAACATTTCTCCTTTCCTGTTTTCGTTTTTCTCAGGACCCTGAGAGAGGGGTGGAGGGGTTAAAATGGCTGGACTGAGCCCTGGGAGATCGGCGAAAAGTTCTCCTATCAGTTACAGAATGCAAGCCGTTCTTGCTGCAGCAGCTTTTTCCCCCGCTGCAAAATCGTACATGCACTGGGAAGAAATGTGTCCCTGGGGAAACAGGGAGATGGAAATGCAGATGCAAACAGAGCTCACAGGAAGGTTAAAAGCAATGAGGAGGTCAGCTAATCCCCTGTGCAAGTCTGCCTACAGGAACGGCAGTGCTCAATCGAACCTTCCGGAAGGTTCGGCTTGCATCTCAGAGGCCCCATTTCCGCCTGCGAGACTATTTCTGTATCCCAAAATGGCAGGTAATGGAAGGATCAAGTCGCCCTTCCGTTAGAATTAATCTGCTCTGGACCTTCCCAGCACAGCCCAGCATCCTCCAAGACTTCCAGCCCCCATCAGACCCAACCAGCAGAGCTAATGGCCATGGATACTGGGAGCTGGAGTCCGGAACAACGAGAGGACCCCCACTGGAGGAGTCTGTTCTGTAGCACCCCACACACCAATTTTATTTTGGTGAAAAATGGCTTACCGGATTCAGTCGGCTTTTCTCTCCCAGGGCTCCTTCCTCTTGCATCTTTGATTGCAGCCAGTAGAACCTGAAATCTGTCTGGAGAGACGGAAGGTCACATTAATCCCTGCTGATACCCACAGGCCTAGAGCACTGCCCCCTGCCCCCAGTTCAAGTCTGCCAAATGCAGGAAACCCATCAGAGGTTCCAGGCAGGCCCTACAGGGACGCCAAGAGGAGTACAACACGCCCTCCTACCCATGTTCCCCAGCAACTGGCGCGCTGAGGCATACTGCAGTGGAGGCACCCCCCTCCAGAAAAAATGGAGCAAAAGACATGGGAGGGACAATGCAGTTCGCTTGCAGGTTGGGATGACGGCTGCCCTTCTGGACTCTGGAGGCTACTGAACAGGAGAAGGCTGGAGAAACTATTCCAAGAGAGCACAGAGCCCCCTCGGAGTCATTATCTATTGGGGGGGGATGGAAGTGTGGAGCCCCTCCCGGCCCAAGGGCTGAATCCAGTCGCAGAGGTACTCTCGGGGGTCTCCCTTCAGGGGTGTGTGTGATGGAGGCTAAAGGGAGGGGGCAAAGTGCCCGCAGGCTGCAGTGCGAGCCCCGTGGCACCAGGAGTTCGGACGCGCAGAGACCTTTCGATAGTTTAGAATGGGGGGAAAGTTCAGACAGTCAGGAAGCCATCGAAGGACTGGGTGGGGCCCGGGGGAAGCAGGTGGCGAGATCTGTCCCTTGGGCCTGAGGGGGATCTCCAGCCACTGCAGGTGGGACGTGAATCCCGTGGCGGCATGGGCCAGGTGGTGGCGGGGGGGCTCAACCCCCTTCCTGCTCTCCTTCCCAGCCAGGAGGCGGCAGAGCGGGGAAGGGCCATGCCGCAGGATTCCTTGACGTGGCTCTCGCCCCACCTTGGCAGGCGGATCTGACCGCAGGGATGCGAGCGCTTCGAGGGACGCGGGCCGAGCCGGCAGCAGGGAAGGGGGGCGTTTACCTGGCAGTCGTACACCGGGTGCCCCCGCCAGCACATCACGTCCAGGATGTAGTACGTCTGCTTGGCCTCGTTGTAGATGCAGTCCAGGATGGTGTATTCTGCACACCCCGGGGGGGAAGAGAGCGGCACATGAGCTCGGAGCATGAGATCCACACGCCCCGGGCAACCCGGGGGTGTCGCTGACCCTCGACCCTCTCAGCTCGCAGCGGTTCATCCCTCCTTTGCACCAGGAAGCTCCTCTTCCCTGCTGCCCATGCCAGGCAGGAACGGGGAACACATGGACCTCCACTGACTTCGACTCCCATCAGCTACAACCACCACAGTGAAGGATGATGGGAGGTGTGCCCCAACATGTCAGGAGGGCCACACGTTTCCCATTCCTGCTCTAGGCACATTTGTTCAAAGAGCCACCCGTGTCTCTCAGGGAGTCCCGCCACCTTCCCGAGATCTCTGAGATGGCGCAAGCACCTCTGCTGTGAAATGGCTGAAACGCTGGAAAATCCCAGCTTCAGACCCTAACGTTGTGGTCTGATTTTTATTCGTATGTTATTATTAGCTGCTCTGAGCAGCAGTTTCAGCAGAAAGCTACGATATAAATATGATGATACCATAAACAACTTCTCCAGCTGGTCTTAGGCGAGTTGCTAGCTTTCCATCACAGCCCAGATTCTCCCAAATCTGCAGCACAGAGATGAAAACACTGACCTTCTATGAAGTCCAAGACAGCAAGGTCAGCCCGAGAAGAGGCAAAAACCTCCTGGGAGAAGGACCATTGCTGTGTCCTGAACTGGTTTATTTTGGCATCTGCAGGCAGAGGCCTACTTCACCGGATACACAAAAGGGACCCAAAAGGGCAGAGACTGCCGAGTGGGACAGTTCGTATATATCCCAGGTGGGGGCTATTAGCAGCTCGCTTTTGGACAACACAAGACGCTGGATGGCCCTAATAATATGGGCAGCTAAAAAGTCCTTGATTCTACAGGGCTGCAAGAGAAATGCTCTGAAGCATCTGTGCCGAATGTTTCTTCTTCCCTTTGAAACACTGCCCCCTTCCCAACCAGGAGGAAAAAAAGAGAATTTAGTTTATGTTAAAAAAAATCACCTTTCCCTGTTCCTGAACTGCAGCGGTTGCCCCCTGGCAAAAGAGAAGGAAATCGATTGACACAGAAGCCACTTTTGGTGTATGCAGCCGTGGAACCCTGTAAGGAGAGAAGGAAAGAATGAGCACCGTTTTTGGGGCGCAAAAGTAGAACGTGGACAGTGCACTCTGGTTTGCCCGGAGGGGTCAAACAAATGCACCCCCCCCCCAGAAGAATTCAATTCCAGCAATACTGACTCATGGCCACTGGATGTGGCACGGGATGAGGCTGCAAATAGCTTCTAGGAAAGAAAGATAATTATGCAAGATCATGAACGTAACTGTAGTGGCCCTCAGTTGTTAGAACGGCAAGAGGTGGTAAATGCAGCTGCAAACCAAGGTATAAAACGACAGGTCTGGAATCCTAAAGAATATCCAACATTAAACAAAAACATGGAAAGCCTCAACCTTCAAACACAAAATAAATAAAAAATGGGAAATCGCAGGCATGTGTGAAACTGGCTTGAGCTACGTTTTGTCAACAGACTTGCAACGCTGCAGACGTTCGTTGTTTTTGGAAAATGATTGAAATGGATATAAAAATACCATTCTGTTCAAACGCAGCTCGGCTGGGGTAAAGGGGACAGAACAGCTGTGCGACGTTGGGGATTCCCGTCAGAACGGATCCCTTGCACACACAAGCCTTCAAACGCTGCTGGCGGGAGCAAGCGGGTGGCCCACTTCTGGAGCGGCAGCAGCAGCTGCAGCACCTGTGCCTCACCAAGTTCTCAGAACCAGAGAGGAAGCCGATTCGGAAGCCGGCAAGATAAGCTCCTTCCTGGGCCAGCTGCAGCGGCAGCCCAGGCCACCGCCTCTTACCTTTGATGCCACGATGAGTGCCCTCTTCCCCATTGGACACACCACCAAGAGCCATTCCGGGACCAGATCCGGGGGGACGTCGATCAGCCATTCGGAGAGCATCAGCTGCAGGGATGGGAAAAAGAAAATGCTATTACTGGCAGCCCTGAGCCGAGGGACACGGTCCAGCGTGAGACAGCAAGCAGATGTTTCTCTGTAGCCTCTCCCCAACCCGACCCCCTCCAGATGTGCGGAGACTGCAGCTCCCAGCTTCAGACATGCTGGCTGGGATTGATGGGGGGCAGACTCCAACCTGGAGAACACCGTGCCAAGGGAAGGACACCTGACTTGATAAAAATCAAGCCAGGTATACCAGAACCCCTACGGAAGGGCTCTGAACTCGGAGGGCACAGACGGGGGTTCTACCTGCAACTCTGACCCACGCGTAGATCAACAAGGGATCCTGATTCCCGTCTATTATTTTAGCAACAGCAGGAATACAACATTTCCGTGCTCCGCCGTCTGCCCTAAAGCATATTGCTGGAATTAATAAGGCACGGAGCATCCAGGAAGGAGTGCAATCTTTGTATGGAAAGGCTAGAGGGCCCTTTCAGCTCTTGCCCTCAGAACAGGCTCTTGGGCTTGGAATTCCTTAATTCATCTGCGCCAGGCTCTGGCTGGTGGCCCTCAGGGTCCTTGGACAGAGCATGCACCAGGTGGATGTTGCAGTCCTTGGCCAGTGGTAGAGCTGATACATGGTTCGAGATGCATCAGGTCCCTGAATGCAGCTGGAACAGGCCTTTGCACAAGACCCTCTCGAGTCCCTGCCCACCAGGGCCGGTCTCGACAGACGAGCGGCCTGGCTCAAGAGAAACCAGTTGCATACGTTCCCATTTCCCAGGCTCAAAGAACCGCTGGATTCAGCAGAAGCTCGGAGCAGCTACGATGCAACAAAATGGACAAGCAGCCAAAAAAAATCCCCAGGTGCATCCCATGTGAAGACCTTGAGCCGTGAGAGGGACCTTGGCAGCCAGCTGCTAATGAGGGGAAATGGGCGGTAAGTTTTTGCTCGCTGATAAAAACGGCCTTGCTCGGAGCCACAGCAAAACGCCCACCTCTGCAGCACCTGTTGCTGAGGCCGTGCTGGAATGCGACGTGTTCGCAGGACAAGAGAATCACTGCTTTCTCCGAGCAAGAAAAAAAATAAAAGCAACTTTGATCCCACCTCTGTGTAATATTTTAAAATCCAGGCATTCTAGCCAACGAAGGCTCTATTTCTCCCTTCCTTTATAGGACCACGAAAGAGAAGGAGTCCGTTTGATTCTGGTAGCTGTGCATTACTTCCAATCACAAAAAGTTTTCTAATTTAGAAGGTAGTATGAAACTCAGAATACCTTACAACAATTTAAGTAGATGGGATGGAAGAATTCAATATATTTTAGACCCTAGCTTTCCTGTCATTATTCTAGTGTGTTTCCTAATTGTAACAGTAACAACAACCTATATTAATAAAATAATATAGTGATATGAGATTAATATCACCATGATGCTAAATCAATATTATACCATCCTGGCTTTATTTCTTTATTGCTTCACTCTTTTAACTATCATTTGTGTTTATCCTATTTTGCTGCATTTCTTCAGTATTTTAAAACTAACAGTGATGATCTGAAATGCAGAATTGCTGTAGGACTGAAAATGTAGGGGTTGTTTATCACCGAGTTTATTTCTCATGTTAATGTTTTATTGATTTGTAATTAATGTTTATTATCCCCCCACAGCCTCCCCAGGTATCGCACCCCTGCATGCAGTTCTATTCAGTCGTAGGTCATGCTGATTGCTGATTTTGCAGTTTTCATTTGTTTAGTGTCATTTTTAAGAAGGGAGTTCTTTACAGTGGCTGAGTTTCCTGCAGCTTCCAACCCTGATGAATATTTCCCAAGCTGAACACCTATGCAAGTAAATAAAGCATGTGCTGGAACTCAGGTGAACTGTATAAGATACTGCCTTCAGATTAGCTTTTTTAAAACAAAACCCAGAACACTTCCTTTCCTTAAACATGTTTCCAAATTAATATAATATCAGTGCTTGAACTCACAATGCCTCAGACCAAAAAATAAATAAATCAAATCAAATATGCATATATTAAGGCACTAAATATACCAATATTCTTATTTCTTTAATTGAGAGATGACATTAGCACAACATAAAATGTTAACTGCTGGTAGCATTTCAGCTCAGCCCATAAGCCAAGCTCAGATCATACTAGTGTATCTTTACCTTGTGACTGTCACTTTTTTGTCAGAGTTTTAATAATTTTGCTGTTTTACTACAGTTAAACTGACTGGTTATTACTTATGGTCATCTGTTGCTGCCAAAGTAAAGAAACCTAGAACATAAAACATGGCCTGGCCTTCATGTTCTCATCTAACATGAAAATAGCAGCTAAACTACAACGTTTCCAAAAATATCCAGTCATTATTTAACTGAATTTGCTCAGATTAGAAATTTCCTGTTTTCAGTCCACTGCTACTTGCTTCACAACACTTGCTTAAAATTTTCTTAGCTGCTGTTGCAGATCCTGCAACAGGATTTGAAATACATTCTAACATATTTAAAATTAAATGTCACTACATTACTTGCTTTTCAATCAATACGTTGAGACAGATGGTAAGATAGAAACTTTACTTTGGGAATGTCATAAAGGCAGAATAATATATAATGTGCTAAGGCTTTATCCAGCCACCTCCACAAATAAAAAAAATACATCCCATTAAAGGATTAATGTTACATTAACTACCTTCTAAATAAGCATCTTCTGGAAACTGTTCTGGAAAACCTTTCCTGAGCTGGGAAAAAGTGATCCGCGTTTACTTACAATTTGGTGATTTGTGTATTTTTTGTAAGGACAAACGATGCAGAGGAGTTATTATAGTTTGTTATTATTAATCACTTCCCTGCCCACAAGCAACGGCAAGGATATAATCTTTTTACCGGGAAACTAATCCCTCAAAATAAAGCTGCCTTTCTTTGCAACCACCCAGCACTCACCTGGTTGGCGTACCGCTTCGGTAGCTTCCTCCCAGCCTCCACCTCCATGTCTTCGCTATCTCCGCCATCAGCGTCTTTCCTCCCTTGTTCCTCCTCCATCCCTGTCCAGTCATCCTCTGCCAACCTCCTAGCATGGTTTATATAATCAAGTCGCTTCCTTGATATGAGGGGGGGAAAAAACAGCAAGAAGGAACATGAGTTATTTCCCCCGCAATCAGAAAGGGAAATCCAAAGGGCTTGAATGCTAGATCAAGGAATAATTTAGACAAGTACAGTGAGCGTGTGTGAACTGCTTCAACAGAAGAACCTTACTTTGAGATGAAAAAGTTAAATATATACATTTAATTCCATGTACCAGTTGCACAATACCAGTAACTCTCCAGGTGATGCGACTTCCTCATTTAATAGAACAATGAAACAGCATACACTGCAACTCTAAAAACAAAGCTGGAAAGTACTGGAAAGTAAAAATGTCACAGCATTACCAATTCATACAGAAAGCCAAAGGGAGAAATATTCCAGAGCTCAAACAAACTTGCTAACAATCCACAGTGTGATGCAGATTGCATTGAGAAAATAACGAAGTTACTTTTTACTATAGGTGTCAGGAAGTCTTTCAACAATTCAAAATGTCTAATAAACAGTGCAATTTTATACATCTCTACTCTTGTAAACTGCCCAGACAGATTTGGCTATTGTGGGGTTTGAAATAAAATTTATAATAAATACAGAAGCCAGATTGTCATTTAGGGCTCACTGACACATATCATCTTTTAAAAGGTCTCTATTAGTTCACAGTTTCCAGGAATGATTCAAAAGTTGGTTTTAAATGGATAAGCTCTATGTTATGCCTATGTAAGACTTGCACTATGTGAAGAAGAAAAAACTTGGTCAGATAAAGAGCTATTTCTCCCCTCTTTCCCTCTGCTTCTTGCACCAGAACGCTTATGGAAAACTGATGAAGAATCTTTGTAAAAGCTCAGAGTCTGGGACAATCCAATCCTAAACACATTGGTTTGCATACAAGAAGCACTCCTTACGTCTTCTGGAGCTCAAGGAGTTTGCGTCTTCTCTCAGACTGGTCCAAGGAGCTGTACTTGGACTTGTACTGGGCCAGCCGGGGGTGCGGGGCCGCCGTGCTGTTGAGGTCCTGGGAAACCGCGAAGCTGCTGGCGAGCGCTTTGCTCAGCTCCTCCATTTCTCCTATGGGGCAGCAGGAGAGGGGAGAAGGAAATCAGAATAATTATGAGGCACCTTCCTTGCTGTAGGATCTTAGTCACAGCAACCTTGGGGAGGTTGCTATATAATGAACCATTTGCCTATTTATAAAGGTAAAGGTAAAGGCTTCCCCTTGACGTGAAGTCCAGTCATGCCTGACTCTAAGGGATGGTGCTCATCTCCGTTTCCTGGCCGAGGGAGCCAGCGGTTGTCCGCAGACAGTCTCCGTGGCCATGTGGCCAGCATGACTAAACACCAAGGTTTTTGGTGGGCACTGTTACCTGTCCACCGAAGTGGTACCTTTTCATCTACTTGTATTTGCATGCTTTCGAACTGCAAGGTTGCCAGGAGCTGGGACGGAGCAAGAGGAACTCACCCCGTTGTGCAGATACGAACCGGCAACCTTTTGATCAACCAGCACAGCGGTTTAAACCACTGCACCACCTGCAGTCCCTGCCTATTTATAGGAAATAGTTATTTCCTCCCTCCCAGTTAATCCTGAATACAAGTGCCACTTACGCACATGAGATAGAAAATAATCTTGCACTGTAATTTAAAAAGAAAAGTGATGCTTCTAATCATAGCTGAGAAGGCTGTGACCAACGGTTCTGTGCACCTACCTCTTGTGTTGGCTATCCTATTGCTAACGGGGGGCAGCCACCAGCAAGCCCCCTGCATGACCTTCTTTTTATGCCTCTAAATCATTAAGGGTGCAAGCCAGTGTGTGTTTAGACAAGAAAAGGACCTAGAATCTCCAACCTACCAGAGCCAGCTCCATTGGCCATGGGATGCTGAGAATTCTAGTGTTTTTCCATCTAAACATACATCAGACTGTACCCTAACTAGGCCTGTTGAACAGAGGACTGCTCCTGAACATTAGGACAAATAGCCCCTCTACCTCCTTTCTTTATCAGGGCTCAAAATGGCACTAATGGCGTTGTCACCAGCCACCCCCCACCCCCACCCCACTATGAAATAGAGACTGTATTTCATTTCACATAAATTACATTTAGGAAGTAAAATTCCAGGATTTACTCTAATATCTACCTGGACAAAATATGCAGTCCTAAACATCGCGCAGCAAAAATTAAGGGTTTTTGCAGTTGGCTATACTGTAATTTGCTGACTAAACATGGTAAAAAAAGGCTCTAGGCACTTATCCACTGGAACGTATTCTACAATAAATCCATCAGGCTTGCTTATATACTGTCTACAGTACTAATGCTTCGGAGCCAGCCTTCAACCCACTTGTTTAGCAGGTCATTCAAGAGGTCGGGTCATCATTCATCCAATGTTTCTTTCAGTACTCGGAGCTACTGTTAATGATTTGTTTCTCTGCTGGAGGTTTGTTTCCTTGTATCTCCTGGCTAGCAGTTTATAAACCACTGTGGAATTGTTATGAAAGCAAACTTGGTAGATACATCCCTAAAATAAGCACGCTTACTTAAGGGATCAAGGCCTACGGAAGGCATCCCAGCTCATTTCCAGGGTTCCTAAATGTACATGAGATTTTGTAATTTTTTTTTTTTTAAGCTGCAACCACATCCTTTTGGGGTGTTTTTAAAAAGGCGAGTGGCTGCAGCAATTCCTTCCTGGAAGACACGTGCTTCCTCCCCCCCCCCCCCGCCCAATTACAGCAATGCCAATTTTAAAAAAATGGGGCTTAAAAGACCAAGTCTTTCACAAGCCCCTGATAAAGTAGGTTGTAAAAGCTCCCCCCGCCCTCGGTGTTCGCCTTCGATTGCTGGGCTGCAACTCCCAGCGGGCCCCGTGCTGGCAGAGGATGATGGGAGTTGTAGTCCCACGTACCTGGAGGACGGCAAGCTGGGGGAGGCATATGCCGCGAATCCGCCCACTTCATCAGATTCTGCGTGCGTGATCGAATAGACACATCCGCAGAGGAAAGCCCTCAGCAGTGTTTTTCAGGCATCACAATTCACACGCGCACCTACCCACCAAGACGGGGGGGAAGAGAACGCACTCTGCACATGTTCAGAGGCACCTCCTTTTTGTCGCCGCGCCACCTGCTGTAGGAGGGAGCCGCAGCAGGCCAAGAAGGGGTGCAAGAGGGCGAGAGTGATTCCGTGTGTGAGGCGGAGGCGACCCCGACTCGATTTTGGTACTCCCCACCCGCGGGAAGGCCAGGCTTCGAACCGATCACGCCTTCATCACCCCATCCATGAACGGGCGAACTCCTTCGTCTTCCCCGTTAATAATATATATGAAGCTTACGAAGCAGACGATGGGGAGGAAAAGAAAACCAAGAGAGGACGGAAAAAACATTTAACGTCCGCACTCACCCGGGCGTGGCTCGCTGCGCTCCAAACGGGATTCGAACCGGCGGACTTGAAAACCCACCGCGACGGAGCAGCCCAACCATGTCGTGCTGCTTACATCACATCCGCGCCGATAAAACTCTTCGCGCGAGCGCGGCGCCGCGCGCCTCGTGATGACGACTGAAAAGCCCGAGGCCTCTCCTCTGACGCATTTTTCTTCCGCCCGCAAGGGTTTCTTACGCGCATGCGCTTGGCGCTTTCTTTTCCCTCGGGCTCTTGCCCCATGTTTTAAGGTGGAATTTTGCACTCTGCTCTGCAGAAAACCCCGACGCTGGGAACGTTTACTCGGAAGTAAATCCCACTTGCGCTTGGTGGAGCCTGCACTCCAGGGAACACGGGCTTGCAATGTTCGGCTGTCACCCTTCTGTAGGGTGTATTTGGGAATAAGCCCCCTGGATCCGACTAGGTGCGCAGGGATAGAAAACCCATTGCAGCCTTTCGGATCTATTGGACTATAGCTACCATCAGCCCCAGCCATCGACCATGCAGGTCGGGCGTGATGGGAACTGTGCTCCAAAAAGTCTGAAGGGTGCCCGTTCACCTGTCTCCTGCACTCATGGGACAGATTTCTGAAGGGACATTAGCTTCCCCAGTAGTGTGGTTCTTGTCCCCCATAATTGTCCCCCATCCAACTCTGGCTGGCTGTGACTTGGCTTTGTTCCCCCCGCACCGAGCAGGGGCACCATATTATTTTCACATTGCGCATGTGGTATTTACCTATGTAGCACTGCATTAGTCGGGGTGTAGCCACTGGAGTGTTGGTTTGGAACTCGAGAAGGGTGTTCAAGTTCCCACTTCGGCTCGCACTGGGTGGCTTTGGGCCAGTGGCTGACTCTCAGCCCAGCATAAGAGCCATGCTCGGTCAGCTCAGGTGTCCATCTGGTCTGGCATTCACAGAGGCTCACAAAGCGACAAGCAGGACAGGAGTGCAACAGCATCTCCCGCCTCGTTCCTCAGCAACTGGTGCTCATGTGCCTCTGATCCTTCGGCCATCCAGTCTAGCAGCCACGGACAGCCTTCTGCTCAGCAATGTGCGCAATCGTCCTTTAAAGCCATCCATACTGGTGGCTGTCACTACATCTTGGGGAAGTGAGTGACATAGTTAAAGCATGGGCTTCCTAGTTCCTGTCCCAAATCTCCCACCAACCAGCTCCTGGGATGACCCCAAGAGGGTCTGTTATGAGAAGAGAAAAATGGCTCCACACCACGCATAATCTTCTACACCTCTGCTGAGTCTCTCACCCGCACTTTTTGTAACCTGAACAATCCCAGGCTTTGCACCCTTTCCTCAAAGTAATTAGAAGACCACAATACTTACATAGGTAGGATGCTTACACAGAGAGGATATATGTTCACAGCATCCTTTTCGTTGCTCTAAGTGAGAACATTTAATAGTCAAGTGGTGGTCAGCTGGGCATGTACACGGTCTCATATACTCAAGCTGTTTCTGTCTTAACTTTCGTAAGTTATTATCCTTTTCAACAAGAACCTGCTGCTTATTCCCAAGTAACTGTTTAGTGTGAGGGAAGCAGAAGCATATTCTCTAATCTGTGGAGTATTTCTTTTCAGAGTATTTCAGAGAGTCTTTCCCACATGGAGACTATTACTTTTTATTAGGTCTGGCATCCAGTTCTGCTTGTTGTTTTGCTCTGACGCATCTGGCATGCGGAAGCAGCTATAAAGCACAAACTGTGGCAGTGGGGACAAGAGTGTGTTTACTAACGGAAGTAATCCCATGGCTGTCGGAGACACAGGACCCCGCAAGCTGGAAGACCTGCAGTAGCACCACGATCCCATGCATGTTCAGACAGAAAAATGGCCCACGACATCCAGCACTTTCTGGCCAGTCATGCTGGTTGGGAAATATGAGAGTCGTAGGGTTTTTAACTGTCAGTGGGTAAGCATGCATAAGATTGCTGCCGAAATCCAGATCCAGGTTACGTCGAAAAGAGAACTGCATGAAGAATGGGAATGGACCCTTCCGCTTGCATGCAGGAAGTCCCAGATTCAGTCCAGGGGAGAAACCCGTTAAAAGGGCTGTGTAAGCAACTGATCAGAGAGATCCTGAGCTCACCCGAGCCCTTTGTATGGACTTTGCTTCAAAGGCTTGCCTGATGACGGTTCAGATGCCACGGTAAAGGGCACAATCCACTGCCTATTTCAGCAGGAACCACTCACTGCGGATGCTGGGAACTGAAGCACCTTTTTCTGTCTGAGCAAGCATCAGGTTGCATCCTAGGACTTCTTTCATTTGTTGAGAATTTTGAAGTGTAATCCTAGGCAGGTGAAGAGAGAGGAGAACCGTAGAACTCCCAGCATGCCTCACTCTGCATGGATCAACAACCCCCCTCTCAAACTGTCCGAACCAGGTCAGTGTATCTGCGTGCACCAGCTGCTGGGGAACATGGGTGGGAGGGTGCTGGTGCATTCATGCCCTGTTCGTGCTCCACCGTAAAGGGGGATCTAACCCAGTGCCAATCACGAGCCGCCCTCCCGGGCTTGCATTATATTGAAACTTCAAAAGCACCGCCTTGCCT